GAAGCAAACAGCGATCGCCATCGGCAATGGAACTACTGGGTCCATCACTTCGGTTCTACTACAACCTCAAAAGTGGGCAGAAAAAGTAGCAGACGGGAAAAAATGTTCCCTCTTTAAAATACGGATTCAAAATCTCCGGGACACGATCGAACCCAGGAGTTTATATTTCTTCGGCCGACTTGTGTGTAAACGACAAAATCAATCCGGTACTAAAACAATCTGGATTCGTCTCGAATCCGAAACAATTTCCGTTTAGTGTAAACCTAGTGTCATTTCACACGATAGCGACTATCATGTAAAAGTAAACTTTCGCTGCAGTTTAACGGACTACAGTCGCAGCTCATTGTAGACAATTTTTTTTTTATAATTTCTATAAGTTATTATATTACGGAATGCTGGTATCAAATATACAAATAAATTGGGTAGAAAATTCTACAGCGAAAAAAAATTAAAGGGTATTTTGAAGAAGCGCAAAATTACAAGTATTGATAGAAGTGTTAAGTTCATCAAATGTGATTTTATGAGAGGATATCAAGAAATCAGAACTTCACACACGTTTTGAATCTTTTGGTTGATTACTTCTTTCTTTTTAGTTTTTAGTCTTTTGGCATTTTTTCCCTCTACTGCAAGATGATGAAGCTAGTTCCCTTGACATAAAGCACTTGGGCTCTGTAACAAACTAATCACAACTAGAATAGAAAACTGAATGATTTAATGAAGGCGACTTTTCTCACGCATCATCAATTCCACACACACCAAAAAAAATACACAAAACGGAAAACCGACAATTTAGCCAAAGGCTTTCATGACGATTGACTTAACTCGTGTATTGAAGCAGACATTTTATCAAGACATTAACTGGTGACGAACCTGGATAGAAATGAATAAATTCCATGCAGGGGGGATGGGCGCAGGCAGTATTGGTGACGCGGGCGACATGAAACAGAATGAACATAAATATAAATAAATAATTAAAAAAAGGTATATTGAGCGATAGACAATTTAAAACTACGCAAACGAAGTAAAATCAAAATAAACAGTAGCTGAGTCTGACAAGCAATAGCAACTTCAAGCAATTTTAGATTGTTGTAAACAGACCAACACAGTCTGTTGTCTCGGTAGTGATTTGCCTAAAAATAAACTTCACGACAGTATAGTGGTTTCATATACACTTCAACTGATATAGCGCTGATAGGAATAGCGGCTTTCGATGAAAAGTCGCCCAATATCTCTCTGTTCAGTCACGTAGAGTACATAACAGTGCATGTATCTGATGTATTTTGCCTTTGCTTTGCCCCAGTACAGCGACATCATCACTCGGCACAGAAGTGCCATGTCATCAGTTTAGTTTAGCCTTTGCTCTCACTTACTCTCTCCCTAGTATCTTTCCGAACTCAATCGAACACAGCCTAATGGACTGAGTTCGATTGGGTTAGATTTGTTCGCTTTAGCCTGGGAGCATGCTCTCATCATTCGTGGCACGAGAAAAGCCGTCGGCGAGTATCGTTGGTGGCACGAACAAAGCCGTCGACGAACGAAGCGTGAGTCCCCTCACCGGCTTGCTTCGCTCGGTTACTCTTTGCTTATCGCCTTTGTTCTTGCTGCAACGCATAAGAGCCTGCTCGCTGGCTATGTTTGGTTAGGTTCGACTGGTTCGGAAATCGAACTCATACAAAGTTCGGTGTTCGATTTCGTTCTATTGCAGAACTACAATCGTACTCAATCGAACTCAATCCATTGATTGAGTTCGATTTCCGAACGTTCGATTGACCATGCCGAGATGAACATGAAAGCACCCGGAACTTCTTGAGTATCACTGATTGCCCGCTATGCTGTAAAAGGTAATCCGGTTTGAAATGAAATGAGCATTGTCGACTTATTGTGTTGGAAAATTCATTATGCGAAAAACCAAGCTTGAATGGAGCGGAAATGAAAAGATCTGACTCGTGCTGTGAGCGCATCACGAGAAAGTTAATAAGCTAATGGAAGCTCGGAAACTAAAAAAGGATCAAAGTTCTGTGGCCTCGAGAACTGTTCAAGGGTCGTACAAGTTATCAGTTACGTTTGGATGAAGACAAAATGCTGATGATAAGCATTGAAGCTCTCAAAGCTCGAAGGGAAGAGAAGTACTTACTAACTTAACTTGTTCGAGCCATACTGACGGGAATATTATTGGCCCAGCTCGGACGTCGTTTTTGTACGAACCTCGCTGCGCTCGCTCCATACTACGTGTACTGCTGCGACGTACCTCGGGCCAATATTCCCCAGTACAGAGGTTGGTATCAGGTTCATGCACAAGTTATTGTATTTTTCAAGTGTGAACACTTTTGCTAACGACAACAATATTCTCAAGTTTAATAAGTGAGCCTAAACTTGTTGAGATTAAGTCGAGATCGAGATATTCAGGTCTTCGATCCTCGGAAATCTCTGGCTACCTTCAGAAAATCTTCCCTGCAGATGTTTATTATTGTCCACAGAACCACGAGAGGACGGAGCATCTTGACAAAACCAAGCAATGTATAGAGAACTAATTAGCTGTTATATTGTTAATCATGATCATTTTATGGTCGAGAGCTCGTAAAAATAGCCAGTTATGCATCTTGTGCTCTGTAAAGTATTATTAACTTCCATTTCGGCTTGACATCAAAACGAATCCCTTCTTTGTATGAGGGCCTTCCGGAAGACAGAGTTCCAAACTGACTGTAAATCTTTTGCTGATACAAAATTACACCCTTGCCTTTTGCGAACTTGAGCATTATCGTGTAGCGGCGTGATAAAAGTGCATGACTAGAAGGGGTGGCGAATGGTAAATGCGAGACTTTGCGAGACGACGAGATTAGCGTTTTTCCTTGCGATCCCGAGACATTTTAATTTCTTCAATTGCGAGACCGAGACTTTAAAGCTCTTTAAAGTGTTTTAAATGCGAGCTCGAGACGTTCAGGTTCTAAGATGTTGTGATGTCTTTTAACTTTATCAACAAAAATAATTTAAACAAATCGGTACTAAACGACTTTCTTAGCCTTGAAAAAAATCGAGACTGCGAGACAGCTTTGTGAGAAAAATTGAGACTGTGAGATGCACATAACCGCTAAAAAACTAGACTGCGAGACCCGTGAAATTCGACGAAAATTTTGCGAGACCATGGGTTTTTAAAGGACCATTCGCCACCCCTACTAGACAAGGATTTCATCTCGGGATAAACCGTCAATCAGGCCAAATCCTGAACTGAACGGCTTCCCAGGGTAATAAAACTGTGGAACGTTGGTGGCGTGCTGGTTATTGAGCATTTTATTTCACCGGGGATTATATATATATAAGAAATAAGACAAATAAGATGAGTTGGTCGAAGATCATACTCCCTTTGCACTTTGAATCTTTATAAAACTGGGCGGGAAGGATCAGGGTGTTTCTCTAATTTTAGAATTTTTCAAAATGGTACTTTTAATTTTTAAATTGTAGTTAGCTCTTATTAACCAAGCTGGAGAATCTTGACCGAGGCCGTGAATAGAGATCGAACGAAAAATTCTTCACGTGAGACACTCGAGTCAGTCGAGTGTGAATCTTCGTCCCCCATTTTGAATTTTCTTTAAAAAATCGCTTATCTAGCAGCCCGGCTGTCTGGAGCTGGAATCAATGATCTGCTCCAAGGAGGAGGGGGATCTGGCTCCTTTTCCACAGAAAATGCATAAATTGTCTACTAAGACGTTGTTAAATATGGAAGCAAGGCCAATTTGAGCATCAAGCTGCTCCGATTTCTCAGAATTGGTAGAAAACTAGAAATTGCTCAGAATGCAAAAGGTTGCTCGAAAGGAAAAACGTTGCTCGAAATATGAGAAGTTGCTAAAAAGTTGCCGAGCAACTTGTGGAAAGCCCTAGCTCCTATGGATACCACCCTAGTTGCTGAATGGGCTACCCTGGTAAAATAAAGTTGCTTACTTACTTACTCGTCCCGCCGAATTCCGATTCCCCCGGGGGCATCATGTTTCTTGGTGACTGTTCTAAGCCTTTTTCTAATGCCAACTATCTCGATCTCTATCGTTTTTTCTCTTTCTTCCGGCATACCCCGGCAATGGGAATCCCACCTCCCGTCTTCTCTTTTCTTTTCCCCCTTTTCCCATCTTCCGTGGGGTTCTAGCAACCTCCCTATCTGCCTACCTAATCAGATCAATTGGATCTACACATCGTCATAACGTTCATTTTAAATTAGAAAATTAGTTCACTTTCATATCCATCATTTTCTCTTGTATCCATACATTGTAATAGTTTTAGTAAACGTATTTTAGTATTTTGATATTTTAGTATCTAGATTAGTTTGAGTAGATAGGTGTCCCCAATTAGCTTACTGTATAGCTAAATACATCATGGACATGGAAATGAATGTTTATTATTATTAATAAGCCCAATAAAATTACTATTATTTTTATTGATTGTTTTATTAATATTTTATTTTTATCGAAACTGTAGTATATGAATAGTGTTTTTTCCCTCATTATTTTTATTATTATCATCATCATCATCATTAAACGCTAACCGGGCGTGTGTCCACTAATTTTAGAAAGTCGATAATGGCATGAGCTTGTCAATTAGTATTTTAGGATCTCATGATATTTTTATTTTCATCAAAATTTTAGTCTACGTTAGTGGAATGTGCGAAGATTTGTTAAATAGGTTTTCTGAGGAGATTTTCACAAAGTTTTTATTATTATTTTTATTACAACTATTATTATTATTATTATTATTGTTGTTGTTAGTATGGAAAAGTGCTCAATAAAGTTTGCTATTATTAAATGTTGTTATTATTATTATTATTATTATTATTATTATTATTATTATTATTATTATAAATGAGGTCAAATGAGTTTTTCATACTTGAGGGACAAAGGAAAAGAAGGGCTGCTCGTAGTCCGTATGCCTTCTATAGTTGCGTCTGTATGACGTCTTTACCTTAATTACCTTGAAATTACCGAATAAAATTTCAATGCTACATTGACTGGCAAGGTGCGGAAAATCAGTTGTAATAAACGGGCGGTTTAATCCCGGGAAGGGTATTCCCAGAACCCGGGGATTTATTTCAGAAATACTGATCGACTCCTGATCGTGTAAAGAAAACAGTGCTTCTCATAAACTAAGCAGAGGTCTATTTTTTACAATTTTCACTTCTAGTCACAGACAACATAACCGAAGAAGAGGCCAGACACTTCTCACGCATCCGGTTTTGTGGAAACACCGTTTGGACCGTTTGCCCGATTCCAAACGAAAAAGGAAAATTGGAAGCTACCGTAACATGGTGCATAATTTTTTCGTGATAACGTACGAGACAAGTTTACTAGCGGTACAACATGTTTGCCATGCCTGCGCTGAGGCTCATGCCGGGGGCTCATGTAAGGATACGAAGTAAATCTCCAAAACGCACCACGACAATTTGATTTATATTTTATAATTTGTTTTGTTAAGGCTGGGCGTGGTCGGGTGTAGTTTCCTGTAGAGTGACCAGACACTTCTCACGCATCCGGTTTTGTGGACACACCGTTTGGACCGTTTACCCGGAACGATTCCAAACGAAAAAGGAAAATTGGAAGCTGCCGTAACATGGTGCATAATTTTTTCGTGATAATGTACGAGACAAGTTTACTAGAGGTACAAGAATTCTTTTTCCCGGATTTGAACCATGTGTTAAAAGCAATCACGGGACAGCAATACGATCTGCTGTTGGTATTGTTATTGACAAAAGCTTGACAGCCAAAATAATTTGCATTCTTTCAACCCATATATTCTCCAACGAATGGTATCACTTTTCATATCATGTACATGGGTCGTCTCAGGGCAAAGAATTGATCTCAGGTTCTCTTTTATTTTGGACCTTGCGTGAGATATAAACTGAATAATATTTCTATGGCGACTTCAACAGTCGAGGCGGTTTATGTACCAAACAACATCGATGGAAAGGACTACTTGGATAACCAACGTTGGCGTCTTCGAATTTGGATTTGTTCTGGCATATCCACGTTGATTGTGTTATCAACAGCCCTAGCACTCATTATTCTCATTTTGAACTTCTCAACGTTTCTCTCACAGACTTATGATCTTGCTGAAGGCGACATGAGGCTGATTTCGGTATCAACAGCTTTCTGTGAAGAAATTTCTCTCGGCAAGGACTCTTCCAAACGAAAGCTCTGGATTGTACCGTCTTCCCACGTAAGTCCCCAACCGCGACAAACAAATATGTCGACCGAAGTGTTTGTATCTAAATTTAAATATTGGTACAAGGGTTTCTATTTACTTGAGGGATCTTCTGTTATCATAGATGCCAAGTCTGAGAGCTCTTTAAAGCTCTTTATTTTCAAAGACAGAAAGCGTTTGGACGAATGGCTTGATCGCAACAGTGATTCAACTGAGACCATCAGTAGCGATACAGAGTATTCCTCGCAGCCTTCGAAAATATCTTACACTCTCAACGTTCATGAAACAGGCAACTACTTCATTCTCTTTAGTTACGCCGGAGGAAAGAAAGACTTCACAAGGATGAAACTAGATTTGATTTTGAACCGTAAGGTGTACGATCTAGAATCTTCAATTTTCAGTTGTAACGCGGCATCCAGAGAAACGTGTTCGGCGCGGTTATTGTTTGGGTCATCTGAAGTTGGCGTGCTCGAGGTCACGAACGAGCCTTCTTATCTCAGTAATGAGCTTATTTCCACTTGGCGATGTGAGCCACGCATCTGGTTTTACGTGGCGGTCTTTGTAGGGCCCATCTTGTTAGCTATCGTCGCCAGCTTCGTGTTCTATTTTGTTTTCGTCAACCGCACGAGAGACAGACATTTACAGAGGCTTGCGATCCAAAGGCAACAAGTGCTAAGACGCACAAGTAGCACTTGTTGTGAACGAAGTAACCCCTTTGGTAATAATAGGAGTTTGAACGGTTCATTGAGGAGACCTCCCAGTCGAACACCAAGCACACGTAGCTTTGGTAACCAGAACGACATGTCACACGCCACGTGTCTGCAGCCTTTCGTGACAACCATGTATACGGGAAACTCAATAAGCGAAGACAGCGGGCACGACACAGACGAGGATGATAAAAGAACGAGCAACTCGGTCCGCCCTCAAAAGCGAACATCCTCTGTTGATGGAGCCTCTTTGGCCTCAGGAGACAGTGTCTCTAGAAGACCAAGTTTCAGTACATTCCAAGGGAGCGAGGATGAAAATTCGAGTGTCACAAAGATTGAAGCTGTTTCGTCACACAACAGAAGTGGACGAGTCCGTGACAAAAGCCGCGAAAGACGGTCTGCTGATGAAAGAGCAAACAAAGCTTCATTTAAGATAAGATCTGATCGCGATGAAATGCGTGATAAAATTCCCAATGGTAGTCTTTCCAGAAACTATCCTACTAGGAGATATTCCAGTGATGAGTTACATGACCGAAGAATTAAAACACTGCCTCGAAATCGTGGCAACACAGCACCTGCTATCCATCCCAGCAGTCAACGTGCCCCCAAAGCGCAGCTTCTGCCCAGTAGACCAGCCTCTCTTCCATGTTTGCAGCAACCTGACGGGGCATGGGGACTACCTTCAGATTTAGTACTCGACTGCCGACCGAAAGTCAGTGGTTCTATAAGTGAAGACGATTTTCGCCCAGCTCGAGAGGAAAGCACAATTGAACCTCAGGAAATTAAATTACGGACGCATTCCGGGAGACGGCGAGAGATGGGCTGGTCTCCAAGACTTTCTATGGTATCCGAGGTGTAAAAAAGTTTTGATCAAATTACGACTTTCTTAAAAAGCAAATATGTGTGTCGTCTAAGTCAAACATAAAGCTATTCAAGTTTTGTTAACACCTTGCGCTTGTCTGCACGTGATCCAAGTCTTGTTGTTGGCATGTTGCAGGTGACAGTAATGTTAGTTGTTCATGTTATTGCATTTATTGTAATTTCCTTCGCACCCGTGATTGAGTGATCGAGAGGAAAGCGTTGCTTGAAAAGATTAAGTCAGTTTCCCGATAAAAGTAAAACTAGTACAGCCTATTCAAGCCGAATTCGCGTCCGTGGCTACAAGTGGCCGGTTCACATACAGCGAAAATGCTAGCCTCTTCCTGGCGTTCAGTTAGTTGGGACGCAGTGCGAAAAAGAGGTGAGAAGGGGCTTGGTACGAGAAGCGAACGAACGCTTCCTCTCGCATTCCCGCGCCGCGTTTCTCCACTTTTCTTTCGCGCGCCATTTGTCCCGCTGCACACCAAGTAACTCCACGCCTGCTGGAAGAGACTACGAGAATGTGAATTCTCGTGGTGCTAAAAGCACTGCTTTGACTGAACATTAATTGACAATTCTAACTCTACCTATCGTTTTCATTCGGCGTTCATCTATGTATATTTCTTTGATTGTATTTTGTTACTGTCCTAACCGGTCTCGCCAAGTTCAAGTTAAAATAAACATTTTGTTCACTCTGGAAAATATTTTTAAGTGAGCAATTGTAAGCTCAAAGTTTCGCGCAAATGACCTACTAAACTAAGAAAAGCATAATTTAGTGGCTGTTCAATTAAACTGGAATAAGGCATTTTTTATGTTCTTGTTCAATAGTGAGTTTTTTCTGGCAATAATTTAGTAACAAGCACGCACAAGTTGGCAGAGGCAAATACTATAACCACCTGTTCTGGTCATTTGCCAGTAATTAGATTGCTAACCAGTCTTTTTCCCTGTCGTAATTGTTCGGTTTTTCCCATCACACGGTCTCTTATAATGTAAACGTTCCCCATCCTCCCCTCCTTTGTGCTTGCTTGACACTTGGCCATATTTGGGAAGGAAATATCTTTTTATTTATCAGTACCCCTGCCGGGTTGTTCAAAGCCCGATTAAGCTAACCCAGGATTAACCAGAATTTTGATTTTAGTTCTATAACTATTCGGCGAGGTTTTCTGTTGATAGTGTACGTCCTCAAGCGTAATAACATAAGCAGTAACAAGCATTTAAAAGAAAAAGAGAATACTTTGGTTAACTTCGTATCAAGCTTTGCCTATTGTTTATGTTTAATTTTTTTAAGACAATGAGCCTTTTGTTGTCTGTTCCTTAGGGATTTTTCGTCCGGTTTCACGAAATTATACTCGGGTCATATCGGATTTAGTCGGCAAATTGTCACTGATGACATATTTTCCCTAAGGGTAACCTACTTGGGAAAACAAAGACAAACCATTCGGGGGTGGGTCAGTAAATTTCAAGAGCACGTCAACAGCTTTGACTAAACTTTTGTAATACCGCGCGCGCATGTTTCGGCCTTACTAGCTCAGCCTAACTGAACTTTACTTTTATTTAAGTCGTTAATTAAAATAATTGATACTTAGAATATAGCTTGTATTATCCGTGTTTTAGCAAGCAAGCGGCGGTCAGTAGCTGGAAGCGATGAGAACGGTTTCTCTTTAAATTTACTTCGTGCATGGCTTAATAGTTATTTAACCAATTGCGCATGGATCTACGAAAACCATAAACGAAAACAGAACTGTTGTCGATCGGCAAGAAGAAAAGTTTACCTTTTGCACCTTTCCACGTTTAAATGATTTCGCTGTTCGCTCATTGATTGCTCGACTGCTAAAAAAAACTCAGAAAAGAAAAAAACAATACAGTGAAGACACACCGCTTGATTTTTGTTTTCTGGTCTATTGAAGCAAGTAAACATCGTTGTTGAAGGCAAAACAAAACGTGCGATTTCGCACCTTTTTCCGTTTCAGTGATTTTTTTCTCCGGTTGGCCAAAAATTCTGAAACAAAAATCTTTATCATCACCGCTCGATTTTTCTTTTTTGGTCTCAGAAAACTCAGAAACTCAAAACTCAGAAGAGAAAAGAAAAAAAATACAGTGAAGACACAACGCTCGATTTTTGTTTTTTGGCCTATTGAAGCAAGTAAATATCGTTGTTGAAGACAAGACAAAAGGTGCGATTTTCGCACCTTTTTCCGTTTCAGTAATTTTATTCTCCGGTTAGCCAAAAATTCTCAAACAAAAATCTTTATTGTCGCATTAGGTGAGCGAAAAAAAAA